GGTGAAACATTGGAAGAGGCTGCCCAGGGAAGTGGTGGAGTCCCCATCCCTGGAAGTATTTAAAAGACGTGTAGATGAGGCGCTTAGGGACATGGTTTAGTGGGCATGGTGGTGTTGGGTCGACGGTTGGACTCGATGATCTCAGAGGTCTTTTCCAACCTCAATGATTCTATGATTCTATATGAAAAAATCAGGTTGGTGAAAAATATGTAAGAGAAAAGTAAGCATGCAACTGATGAAAAGCAACTTGTAATTAAGTGTATTTTAAAACAAACAAACAAAAACCCATAATGGAATTTTTCAAAAGCTACAGTACAAGATTGTCCTCCTCAAATTTTTCATCAAAACAGAATTCTGCCCTGGGGAACAGTAAGCCACAAGAAAATAAGTCCATTTTTGTTGCACAGAACAACTCAACCTTACAACACATTGCCTGTAAAATGTGTATTAAGGATAATAAACAATAAAATAAAAACCTACCACGCTGACCTTACTGTGTAGCTTCATGACCGACCTAAGATACCTAAATCTGTACAACTGCTTGCCATCCTCTCCTGCATTTCTGTTGCCGTTCATGTGCCACTGCTGGGGCTCTTCCAACTATGCCATCATCCACATCCCCCTGACCTGACTGGAAGAGTACTTAGTAGGTGGGGGAGAGAGGTAAGGTGGTAGTTTGGTGGGGTTTTTTTGAACAGCTAGTTCTTAGGAAGTTCATTTTCCCACATAGCTATCATTCATGATGGGTGCAATCATGTGTTTGTACATTTCAATTCTAGCATAAGGATATGAGAGTATGTGGCAAAGCATCACCCATGGGATGACCCCTTTGGAGCAGCACAGATTAAATCGACTGTCAAAAGAAGTTAACACCTTCATGTTCTTTTCCCACTTTCTTTATATAAGCACTTGTGTTACTTTTGACCAACATCAGCCCATAAAGCCTCCAATTTTTTGAGGCATGGAGCCAGACTGTATCTGTTCTACTCCCGCATACGAGGAAAAAGGCTGTTTCTGGTTTTTTAAGCAGTATTTGTGTGGCACATTGTACACATAGCAGGAAGCAGTATGTCACACACCCTCCTTTCAGGTACAATACATACCAAATGAAGAGCAGCAAAAAAAAAAGTACCAGGGCAGGAGTATCCAAAAACTCTGTAAACATTTCAGAAGTAGTGCTGACAGATTTACTCTGCAATTTCAGCTTACGGCTAATGAAAAAGTGCACAAAAACTAGAAAGCAATATGCTGACGTAAATAATGAAATACAGTAAACACATCAACTCAACATACCCCTCATCCTCTGAATGGCCAACTGTAGTGACCATTTTCATCCATGAACTCGAACGGAAAACTCAGGCCACAGAAAGTCACACGTCCAGCGAGCACATAAGCAGGCTCTTATCTATGTCCACTAATTAAGAGTGTCCTTTTACACCATACGATGGCTAATTAAAGGAGAAGAAAGCACACAACTACAGGCGTCTTCAGTCACATCCCTTCAACACAATACAGATTTCATGCCATAAAAACCTCCAGGACTTTATTTCACAAGTAAAACATTTTAACCTTTTGCTCAGGAGCGTCAAACTCACTGAAATTTGGAGATGATAGTTTTGTTCCTCTGTAGGTAGAAGTGCCTGACTAGCGTGCCTGTGTGCTTGCATTAACTACTGGTCACCTCCCGTGGGAGAGGGTGCTTCACCCCGTTCAGTTCTTGGCAATGCGCTTTTGGAAAAAAAAAACAACCAACCTTCGCTGCCAAGGCAATAAAACAGGTTTTTTCCCCTCTCACCACCACGTCCGCTCCACCAAGGCTTCCCACTGCCAGACCACCTGTTTCCTGCCAAGTCTGCAGCCTGGGTCAGGAGTACTTTCTTACCATCCAGGACATGATGGGGCTGATTAAACTTGGAAGCTCAGAGCAGCTGAAAACCTTCGTAATAGCTTGGCAAAGCCACAGAGCGCTGCCGAAGCCTTCAAAAGTTTGATAGAAAAAAATTACGTGGTGGTTTGGATACAGGTTTGACATCCCGGGTTTACAATAAAACTCTCAAATGATACAGACAGATGAGAAAAAGGGATACACAGCCCACAGTACCTTCTCCTAAACCCAAACTCACCAATTAACTTTTTTTCATCATCTAAAACAGATTCTTCATAATGAGATAAATAAGATCTAGATGAGAAGATTAAGATACGTGCAAAGTTATAGTCATACACTCTAGCTCTCACCCAAGAAAGCATGTTTGAACGATTTCATGAGATTTAAGTATATGTTTAAATGACTTTTTGAACCAGTGCTTGAGTGCATACACACTCAAGTCTCATATCATATCAGTAACTTTTTTTCAGAAAAATAATTCAGGAATAAATGATTCAAGAAAACTATTTCAAGGTCATAAAATGTGTGTCTAATCACCTGAAATTCTCTCTTAAACTATGCTTCAAAACAAAGTTATTTTAAAAACACTGGCTTCTCTCAAAACTTTTTTTTTTTTTTTTAAGAATAAAGGTATTAAGAGACGAAACATCACACACTGTTAGCATTTTAAATAAAAAGCATTTCACGTAAGTAGTGGAGTAAGATTAAACCCATATTTAAAGATTTGATGACCAGTTTTCAAGACAATGTCTAGAAATACATGCAAGGAAACTGTAACCAGCAAAAGTGAAATAGCTTTGAATAAGATATAGATGTGAAAAGGAAATTAGAATGCGAAACACTGTTTTGCAAACTGATAACCATGCAATTAAGAGAGATGCAATCAAGCACATACACTTTGACCACTTCACTACTTTTTAGAAACTATAATAATCCCAGTTAAATCATCACTGAACCAGGCAAAAATAGTGCCACCTCCACTGCTTATATTTTTTCAGCTTTTTATTTCCAATGTATATTTCCATTCAAGGAAGCAACATAAAGAAATTTTTTTTAACCCTGATTTGTTAAAGAAAGCTGAGGTCAAGTTCATCCATATGTAAATTTAACAATGGCTCATAAATGTTTTGAAACTAATTCAAGGTAAGCTTTTACTTGCATATCTACCATTCTGCCCCCTTCTCTGCTCAGAATGAATTTAAGTAGTTTTGTATGGTTTTACAAGTATCAAAAAGCAATGTTCAACTGAAGTGTAATTTGATTTGTTTGCAAATCCCTTTTGAATTGCTTTATGATGCATAAGCGCATGCAGTTTATTAGGAAATAATAAGCAAAGAAGGCAAGCCAGGCAAGAAGCTTTGCTCACTTTCAAAGTCAAGGAAAAAATTTGGCCCCTGATCAAGCTCTGTGCAAGTGAGAACTTTTAAAAGATTTCCCATTTGGTTCCTGAAAAATAGAAAAGGAAGAGAAAAGGAGTCCTGAGTGAACAAATTATTTTAGAGACAAGGACTTGGACAGATTGGTTGTGCTGGAAAATACACACTGCAAGCAATCAGGTTTTAAAAGTTTTTCCTCAGTTCGCTGTTAAGTCAGGGAAAAGATTCTCTCATTGACTTGTAATTGTTTGAACTTACTTTCAAAATCCAGGAAAAAATGTGGATAGTTTTCAATTTCCCTGGTAAGGACCTTAAGAAGATTACCCATCCCAGCAAACCTAGTAAATGCAACAAAATCGTAAACAGTTATATACGTAAACTTACAATACTACAACTAAGGGCTTGACACAGTCTGCATCATATATTAAACATTATGGCAAGTTCTGGACCATGAGAAACATTTTGGTGGTCAATTCTGTGATATTTATGCATGGGGACAGAGATAAGACCTTGGATAAATACAGAAACAATTCAACAAATTGGAATTTAAACATCAGTATAACATCACAAAGTACAGACAAATATTTATGAGTTTATTTACTTAGCAAGAGAAACAAACTCAGAACTATATCTGTATTTGTAAATCCTCTGAATTGCTGGACTCAAGATTACTGAATACCATTCCAGAGGAAAAAATGAGATCTTAATCCTTGTCTTGGATTCTTTAGCATAAATCTGTTGTTATTTCATGAAAATAACTCAATTTAAGGAAAAAAAAAAATCTACTTGTTTCTAATCAATAAGGTTTTATAAAATATTACTATAAAAATCTATCAGAAAGAAAAGCTAAAAAGCTTGCTACTTTTAAAAATGTATGTATGCATTTTTGAAAAAAAAAAAGAAAAAGGAGAAACGGGAAATGGGAAAAACGGGGGGAAAACGGGGGGAAAACAGAGAGGAGTGGTCCAAACTCTATCTTTTTATCTGTTATTCCTATCTTTTATCATCTTGGAAACCTTTGCATTTCAAGTTATGAAAAACTCCCAAAAGAAAAAGTGACCAATTCTCAAGAAAGCAAGTCTCTGTGGAAGAGAAGGAAGGAGATTTGAAGGAAAGTTTTTTTACCAGTACAGTCCTTAGGAAGACACATTCTAAAACTATGTAAAAGTATAGCTTTCTTGGGCAAACAGACTTTTTCTCAGAAGACAGAAAAATTAAACCATGAAAAGCACATATGAAGATAAAGAGTTCTGCCTGAAGGGATGTAGAAAAATGTAATTTTAGATTTAAAACTCAGACTGAAAACTGATTTTTCTTCAAAGATAAATATTCTCAGTACTCTAAACCACGGCTCTTGGGGCTCACATCTGATGCTCATCTATTTTTCAGTTTAACTCTTTTCCCACTTAAGAAATCAGACCACAAAAAAATTATTCTAAGCATGTACACGGCTGATACTTCATACGAGGAGACAAAGTTTTTTTCAAATTTTTCCCCAAGCATTACAGAAGAAAAAGTATTATCAACCCTAATTTCTATATGCATGTAAGGGATATATTTCTATAGCAGGAAAACCTAGGAAGGTAATGTAAGGCTTGGAGATTTCAAAGCAGTCATAGTCATTCTATAAAATGATATAAATTTAATCAATACTCTGTTCAGAGCATGCAGCTTCATGTAAACCAGGCTTTTGTTAGACAAATGGTTTTGTTTTGCATTAAATACTCCTTCAAAATTTTCTCTCCAGAACAAATCCAGTGAGCAGACTGTCAAGCCCTTTACAATTAGCAACATCTTGCATATACAATATTGAAACATGAAGAAACATTCTCCAT